AAAACAAAGCCCTACTTTTATATATGTTGTATAAGATGTATTTTTTCTGAATGAAATTACTAAAAGAATATTAAACGATTAAAAATATTTAATTGAGGACAATAGGGAAGGTTTATGGTAAAATTGAAAAGTAATCAATATTCACACAATCATAATGCTTAACACAAAGTTAAAAAAAAAAAAACATATTTTAATTCATTAAGACAAACATGTCGTATTTAAACAAAAAAAACTTTTTTTGCAAGAAAAGCTGTCTTCAAAAATAATTCAGCCGAAACAAACACGCATTCAAAGCACTACAATAAATTCATTAAAATTATGGGAAAAAAGTATCTAATGTTACTTTAGATAATTTTGTCTAATGTTCATCGAAACGACGTTGTTTTGGGATTGAAAAATTTAAAAATTAGAATGATAAAGACTATTATAACCCTAAAATAAATTAAAATTACAAAAACACTATGATTTCCGCATCAAAATGACGTCGTTTTGATAAACATTAGATAAAGTTATCTAAAGTAACTTTAGAAAAAAATAAACCCTAAAATTATATTATGTGGATTGTAACATAATCATACATATTCGTAGAATAGATCAAATTTAAGATGTTATATAATAAATATATAGTAAATTTCAGCTGAATGTAGCATTATGAGAATATTTATGGGTTTCTTTTTATTTTAACTCACTTGAATATTGTAATCATAGTTTGTAAGAATTAGACTGGTCATCAATGTAACTCTCCGATTGAAAAATCTACCAAATAAAAAAAGGCAAATGATTTTCTCCATCCACGAATGAGAAGAAGTCTTTCCTAAAGATACATCAAACTGTGTGTTAAATTTATTTATTTTTTTCTTATTTTAAAAAAACGATAGTTCCACTATTTTGGTTCAGTAGGAGATAAGATTTTCATTCCTGTAAAGTAAGAAAAGTTTTCCCCTAAAAAAAAATGTTTTTTACGAGTTATTGGATTTGGATAACAAATATAATGGTGAAACCATTGGGCCAATAAGTGGCAAGTCACATGATAATCTCACTAGTGTACGATAATTTTATGTTACGGTTATATGTATCACCTTTTGGCTTTTACTACCATCTCTATTATTGTTAGATTAGTAGAGGAGAAGAATGAGAGATTGCAGGTGTTCGATCTAAATTTGATTCGATGGTAATTGAAATGATAGTAAAAGATGATAAGTATAAATTGATGATGATGCGTCATAACAAATTATGAAATTGTTGAAATTTATTTCTTGTAATTTTTCAATTGATGATTACAATTTGGTATTTTTACCTCTAATAAACTCACTTTCGAGGAGATAGTTCTGGTTGCACATAGCTACTTGCGATTCGTTTATTGTTTTGCCTTCAATAAATCAGAGATTTAATTTATTTTAAAAAAAATTGGGGAATTGATCCTCATATATTAAAAATTCACATGATTAGTCTATAAAAAAAATATTCATATGATTTGATTATTTAAGTTTTTATGTCTATTTCTTTTTTCACATGCATTGAATAAGTTGAGTCCAATAAAATTTTATCAATATTAACGGAGAGAAATATACACAGGAAAAATTTACGATCATATAATTCTTTAAGGAGAGAATTCATTCTCAAAAAAATGTTCCTAAGTTTATTCCAAAATAAAATGTGCTATAGTTCTATTAAGAGGAACAAATGTATAAATTGTGATTTATTTAATATAACTTAGAGTTCACTTCTTTCACAGTACTTTAAGTTAGATAATGATACAGCACTATTTGATAGTGGAGAAATTTTTTATTCTCGCGAAGCATGATACGAAAAATTTTGTTAGAAAATATTTTTTTAGAAATGTAACTAAAAAGTTATTTGTTAGGTTAAAATATTACGAAAAATATTAAGTAAAATTTACTGATTTTATATTTAATTGATTTTATAAAATATTATTTGGAATCCGAGATTATTTTACAAAAATAACTCCTAATTTTACTTTTGCACGAATAAACATGCACCAGGAACACAAGCATAATACTCTACCTTGCTGCCCCAAAAATAATTTGAAAAGAGCGCAATTCACACATATATTAGCGACCACTAGTTTATCGGATTATAGACAGACAACCTCGGATATGTTCCCGTTGAGTTCTTGAATCAAAGACACGTTTTTTACCATTTTGTCGGCTATCCTTGACTTGGTTCTCATTCACCTGCTTAATCAGCACGCGGTTTCGATCAAGCACCGACTGCACTTGCCGGAAGCTCTTGTTCAGGTTCGTCCACACCTCGGGGGTCCCCGCCCTCTGCCTCCTCCATCTCCCCGTCTGACTCCCCGGTGATGGTGTTGACGATGGTGGAGGGGTGGTGGCGGCAGCGACGGTTCTTCTTAGGGCGACGGCGGTGGTTTGTGGGGTCTTCCATCGTTAATTCAGTGGTTGAGGAGGAAGAATAATGGTCATAAGCATGAAACAATAGGCTCAAACATGGTATTTTTGTCCAGAAATCTGTGTCCATTTTCCGACCTTGTGAAATTTTTAAAATACCACCTCATCGATGGTATTCTTGATTGAGAAAAGTGCGTGTAAATCAAAATTCTAGAATTGTAAGAAAATTTTTGTACTTCCTACCAAACATAAGAAAATTAGATTGCCGATGTCACTTTTATGGGAAAATAAAATTTCCTCACGTACGCCGAAGCAATGTACTTTTTTTTTATGTCAATCCAGGTTTCATATAATATTTAGTAATTTATTTTTATTAATACTTTAATAATGGATTATCAAAGATTCATATTGATTTATATTCATATTTCAGAGAGATTAAATATTTATTGTGATAACTGCATAATCAAAAACTAATAAAATATATCAAATAATGGTAGCTCAGTTGGCATATTAAAGCTGAGCAAGTGAGAGTGAGAGTATGTGTTCGATCTTTTCCAGTACTATCTTTAGGAGATGTTGAAAGTCTTAATCCTTGGCCCGTCTCGAAATAGGATTGCCTCCCGTGGAGGATTACTTGTAGTTTATAAAAAAAAGGAGTAAATACCATTTTTGGTCCCTAACAAAAAAACACGGTTCCCACTTTAGTCTTTTACAAAAAAAATTAGTCTCAAGGTCCCTAACAAATTCAAAATGGACCAATTTAGTTGAAATCGTAGTCCCTCACAATTCAAAAAAGACCCATATTAGTCCATCAAAAGGACTAAAATGGGTCCACTTTAAATTTATTAGGGACCAACTGACTAATTTTTTTTTTGTAAAAGACTAAAGTGAGGACCGTGTTTTTTGTTAGGGACCCATAAGGATATTTACTCAAAAAAAATAAAATAATAAAATGTGTAATATCTTATGCACTAAAAAATATATATAACAACTTATCAAGAATACCATTAAAAACATATGGATAACATAACAATTTAAATTAGAAAATGATCTGAAATAGGTCCATTTTTAAAGAGATGTTCATAATAATAATAGTATTGTTGGGACCTGAACTTAGTTCTGGTTTGCAAGTTAGGATCACATGCAGACTTGCGTCTCATCATTGTCTAGATAACGACAATCAAAGCTTAGTTGAAACACATACAATAAATACCTGGACCATGATGTTCCCATTTGCACTTTTATTTCTCAAACATCACTAACCTTCTATTCACTTAATTTCCCCCCTCATTTCTAGGTTAGCACTTTAGTTATAGAAAGTAGCAATTTGCGTTTGAAAAAAGTTCTAGCTAGGTACACATATTTTCGCTCCCATTAGTGTTTTTCTTTTTACTTAGCAACAAAAAAAAATTGTTCTTCTTACTATTTAGTATGAAATGAATTAAAATTTTAAGATTATTATATATTATAGCATTATTAGTTGTGCATATAAAAGTAGACGTGACTACACATAATGGGGTATTTGACAGTATGCTTTTTGATCCATCTTGCATTTGATCATTTCTACATGTTTAAGAACAAGCAACTAGGAGCTTCATTTCGTAGTAAGCAAAGGTGGAGTTGTGAATACAAACAAACAAGAAGTTAGAAACCAGAATCAAATGCATTTTCATCGCAATTGTTTATTTTCTTCGGTAGCACAAGCTTGCTGGGTACCAAAAGAGTTTGGGTAGTTAGCTAAACAAAATGGTTTCTGTAATGCTTATCCGTTTTAATTTGGTCAATCTATTATTTTGAGTATACACATAAGATAACTATTATTACCGCTAAAAATTTACTTACATGATTGGCTTTTTATTCTTAAATTATTAAAGTTATTCATTTATCTTGATTTTGAAGTAAGGTGATCCTTCCGTTATCTTAAAATTTTATCTAACAAAAAAAAAAAAAAAAACTTATTTTATCTTTTGGTCAAAATATTATTATAGAATTTGACATCTTAGATAAATTTGAAGTATTTACCACAAAAAAAAAAAAAAACAATAAACTTCTTAATAGTTAGCAGTAATAATATTTGAATAACATTGCAGTTTTTACGGTAGCTGAAGACTGAAGTAAGTCGAAATTGATATTACTGATAAAAAGATATGAGGCTTCAATTTGGGTCCATGATAGAAACCTAGTCTAGAGCCCATGCCATAAATATGGACCACATTCCTGGGCCACGTTCAATGTTTTACAAAATCAACTATCTTAATTCAAAGATAATTTAACCCGTAACAAGTTAATAGATTAGATTTAACTTATTTAGGCAAAGCCTAATCTAACCGAACTCATTTACCCCTATTAATAAGTTATTTACAAGATTTTCATTAAGATAAATTGCCAAGAGAAATTTAATTCAAAATTTTGAAGTTTTTATTTCCATTTTTTCTAGTAACTCCCAGAAATTTCTCCAATACAATTGACTTACCAAACTCACACTCCTCTGACCTTGAAAAGATTCGAATTAAGACACAGTATTCTATTCCAATCAAGAATTTTCAAGAAGCTGCTACTTCAACCTTCTATTCCATCCACTTTACACCTTATATATACATTCATACACAAATTTCCAAACACCAAATCCCACACACAAAGAAAAGAGAAACAATAAAAAATAAACAAGAAAACACCATCTTACAAAACACACTTCAAAAAGCATTCAATTCAAATTCTGAAAACAGATACGTCTCTGTTTCAAACTCTGTTGATGAACCAGAGAGACCCCTTTGATCACTTCCCAGCATTACTCTATGGAAATTCAGACTCATTGGGGTCTGAAGGGAACACCCAAATGGATTGGAAAGAGACCCGTGATGCTCACATATTCGAATTAGATCTTCCTGGGCTAACCAAAGAGGATGTGAAGCTTGAAGTGCAAGAAGCCAGAGTGCTCTGCATCAGAGCAGAGAAAAAAGAAGAACAAGAAGAAAAAGAAGAGGAAAAATGGCATTGTAGGGAGAGAAGGAGCAATGGTGTGTTCTCGAGGAAGTTCAGGTTACCTGAGAATGCAAAAGTTGATGATGTCAAGGCCTCAATGCATGATGGGGTGTTGACAATAACAGTGCCTAAGGATATGACCAAGAAGAAGCACAAGCACCACAAGAAAGAGGTTCAGATTTTTGAGGAAAAAGATGGTGAAGGGGTTGCTCCAAAAGGTATTGGACGTTTTGTTTGCTGCAAAGCTTAGAACTTCAGAAGTATTTTAAGTTTGTTCAAAGGTTGTGTTTTGGTTTGCTATTGTTCTTTTTTCTTCTATGTATAAAGTTTATGGTCTGAATTTTCCCTTTTTTGTTTTTTATACTTTGATTGTAAAATTGAAATTCTTCAAAGTTCAGTGGTTATTGTAAGTGGTCTCTGGTTCATTATGTGCTCGATTTTGAACAATTAGAGTGTAAAAAATAAAAATTAGGGAAGTTTGGTTTGTGTGATGTAGCCACTTAAAGCGAAAAAAGTAAAAAATTTCAGGTTGTTTTTTTGGTTTAGAAGCTATTTGTTCCGAACAAGTGCTTTTATTTGGTGGTGCAAAAGATATTTTTAGTTTTTAGAGATATAAATTAAAAGGGAAATATTTTTCTCATTTCGTTGGAGATAGATATCTTATTTTATACACTTATTGAATTTTGTATCAGCTTTTTTCATTTTTTTTTTTTTGTTTTAAAGTGTGGATCTCACATATTTATTTTACACACATGAGAGAATTATCTCAAGCAATATGAGATTAATAATTTTCAAATTAAAATATGTTAAATGACGAAAAAATTATTGAAGCTCAAATATTTTTAGAGCAAATAAGAATAGCATTACTGTAGTTTCGGAGATTGTGCATAGTTTTTCGGTGTAAAAATGGAACAATTAAAGTTTTTATTTTATTTTATAATTTCTTATTATTTTTTATGGTTTGGTTAAAATTAAATTAATAAGGGAAAAGTTCACCAATGCCCCTATGGTCTGCTTCAGAATCATTTATGTCCCTGTGGTTTTTTTCCTGTCACATATGCCCCTATGCTTTGTAAAAAATAAGAAACCACAGGGATATATGTAATAAAAAACACACCCTTTTACAAACCACAGGGGCATATGTGATAAGAAAAAAACCACAGGGGCATAAGTGATTCTGAAGTAAACCACAGGGGCATTGGTGAACTTTTCCCAATTAATAACTATAAAGTAATATAAATAAGAGTTAGTATTTTAATTTAACCTGATGATAACAAAATAATCATAAGGAAAAAAAAGTATATGTATATGGCAGCTATGTAAGCATTTTGACATCCTCGTAAAATAAAAAATTTCCTTGTGCCTGCAGTAGAATATTATTATTATTCTCGATAAAAATGAATAAATAAATGCACTAACAAAAATGAATACGAGAAAAAATATTTAAAATTAACTCTTCCCATGCGGGATTAATGCTATAGCTTTCAGCATTATAAATTTTTCATTATTTATAATGCTAATTATCAATTCTTTTTATTATAAAATTATTCATATCTTTTTTCATTAATAGTACTGATCATCACTTTAATAAATTTGCATTATTAAATTTTTTTATGAAATAGTTATCATTTGTTTCTTTTTACTTTTAATCACCTTTTTCTTATTTACATTATTAGTTTTATATTCTCACAGTATGATACCCGGCTTTGATTGTTCCTTTCCCTATTTGATCATATTCAAACATTAAATAATTCAAGCGTTTATATTGCACTAACCATTATTTGGCTGGAGAATAGCATCGCCAACTAATTTTCAACGTGATGATGAGTATTGCAACATAAGGGATGACAATTATCTTCATAAATTAGATATTGACACCCAAAAGACTAGACAGTGCAACCTGAATGCTAGCCGTAAGCATTACCCAATATCATTTGATATACCCTTTGATCCTAACACTGCAACTAGATGGCTTTATGGAGTGCACCGAATCACATAAGTTGTTGTTTGCTACCTACATGCTAGATGAAGATGCACATGAGTGATGTACAAACACCTCTTAGGTCTATGAGATGTAAGGCCAGATTATGACCTGAAAATTGATTGAGGAGATGTTCCTGGGGAGGTATTTCCCCTACGATGATATACAGTGGAAAAAAGGACAGTTTAAGGGCCTAATGTAAGGCTCAATGTCAGTTCACGAGTACCTGGTCAAGTTTAATGGCAATTAGCTAAGTTTGCTTACTTCATTATCTCACATTGAAGTCATAACATTATCTCATACACACATAATCTCATATATATCTCATACACACATTACTGAATAACATAAAAGAATTGTTGTTAAATATATTTCTTGTTACTAGCATGCACATAGTTCAGTGAAGCCTAAAGTGCATGTAGCACTATGACTAGAAACCCTTTTATAATGTGCTACGAAGTTCAGCACTAAGATAGAAGAAACAAGTTAGATAATTTGATTAAACAATCACTTGTTTTAAATATCGACCAACCATTTGTAAATACCAACTTATGTTAGAGAGTCACTCTATATATAATCGTGCAAATTTTTTATTTTTTACATTTCTCTACCAGTTAATGAATTATTCGATTAATCCGATCAAGTTGAATATGATCCTAAAGACATCACCATAGACTATAATTTCGAAGCCGTGGGTGATGCTAGAGTAATTGTTGTCAATTATCAATGAGTGTGTGAACTATTACAATAAACCGCCTTTGAATAGATCTTGTAGACGGCTATAAAACCGCCCATAACATATATTTGGAGGCGCTTTACAAAAAAATTGCCTCGGAATGAATGTATTTAAAGGCTCCTTGTCAAAACGCCTGAAAATTTGCCACTATATGAACTATGAGGGCAGTTTTTGAAATCGCGTATGATACACATTTACAGGTGGTATTTATTTTACCGTCTCAAAATGACTTAAGTTTTAGGCGGAACATATAACCGCTTATTCTACCGCCTCAAATTTATGAATACAGAGGCGATTTTTGAATATCCGCCTCAAAATTTTATGTAGGGACGGTTGAAATAACAGCTTTTAATTAATATTTTAAGGCGGTTTTTGTAAAACCGCCTTTCTTAAAGAAAGACTCATGCACTACCGCCTATGTATGTCACTTGCATGCGGTTTTTGTATAACTGACTCAGTATAACGGTCGTTATTTCCTTGTTTTCTTGTAGTAAGATCATGATAACTCACATTTTCCCTCCAAAAAAATACCACGTACAAGTGTTGTTTGTTTAGGGTTCAAAAATGGAGAAAATGGTTATTGTTCATGTTGGTTAATGGTTGTTTAAGTCACAAATTCAAGCCTCCTTTTGTTCCATACCATGTTGTGTTAGTGATATCAAAACCTTTACCATGTAAGTTCAAGAAAAACCCTCTTTGTTTACATCATGTACACAAGTGGAACTCCAAAAAAAAAAACAAAGACCAATTTCTGTATTTCTTTCTTACATGAATATTATTAATTCATATTGAGATAAACTCCCATGAAAAACATGAGTTGATGTCCCCATTTCTCTTTGTTTTGCTTGCCATCTTTTGTATACGCTGCTTTTGGATTGGAGCAAGAACTTCACCAAGAAATATATAAAATTACCCGCTATTTTGTGCACGAGGTGTATGTTTTACCCCTAATATGGACCTATTTAAACTAAATAAAACTCAGAAGTTGAAATGCTAAAAATGGGTGCTCACTCTCCCCCATTATATATGTACTACCCATGTGTCAACTTTTACCTCTAATAACACGACACAATCATTTGAATCATTCATTATTAACATTGGAGAATTAAAGTGGCTAATTGTGGTTGTTGACTACTTTATCAAGTAGATAGAAGTTGAACCACTGCTGTATGTCATAATTCATAAATATTTTGTATTGTCTCTCTATCTTCATAAGATCAGTTATTTCATTTTTAAAGCAAATATAGTCTTCCGAATGTGAATGTTAAGAATAATTTATAAAGAGACTTTGATTGAAAAATAAAAAAAATTGAAGTAGAAAGAATACAAGTCCTCCAATACACAGTGGGGATAACTCACTCCTTTGCTTTAAAAATCCAATGGTATTAGAAAGAGTTAGCTAGAATATTATATTTTGCATTTACAAGGCTCTTTTTATCTCATTTTTAGTTGCACAAACCGACAAATATATCTCAAGTTTAAGGTTCTTTTAGTATATAGCTACAACTCTCACTTATCATGGTATGCATCGGCGGACCTACACTTGCACCTTTGTCTGCAAATGTAGACATAAATTTGTGGGGAAATTTTTTTTTACTGTTGCTCGAGCACCGTACATGTTAGTTCAAATTGCTAAAGGATTTCAGGATAGCGTAGCTTTAGCCTCAGCCACCTTACCGACTGTTGGGTTGCAGAGGAGAATCAGAACTGAGAAACTTATCACCTGGTCATGCATCTCAGCCTCCATGGCATCAGAAACTTGCATGAGCTTCACAATTAGGGCACCACACTATTCTTCAAACTCCTTCACCATGCCACCACACGACTGCACTTCTCTAAGCTTCTCATGCGGTGGCGCACCACCAACGCTGCCGCAGCACCGCTCCCACCGCCACCTTCCCCATTACAAGGCAAAAAACTTAGTCACTCACTGAAACAACAAAAACCTCTTAGAGTCACAAATTTTTGGTTTAGCTGAGCAAATCTCAAGAAGCAAATCTCAAGAAGCAAATCTTAATCAGAAAGCTCTGTCTTCAGAAGGAACAAGATTCGTATTCAAGCAGCCATGGTCAATATATGTCACTAAGACAAAGAAAGCAAAGAGATGGAAGAAAAATTAAAAAATAAAAAATACTATTTTAGTGGATGTTTGGTGATGATTTAATTGGATGTATATTTAGATTAGTTTAATCTGTATTAAAAAAATAATCATTACTAAACATACATTATTTATTGTCAAGGAACGAATAATCGAAGAATGTTTTTGTAATTGTTTTATTGTAATAGTTTAGTTCAATATAGACTATTATTTTTTATAATAAGTTGAAGTTTTCTTTTCTTTTTCTTATTTATATTCTTTTATTATTAATGTATTTAAAATTTTCTTTAAAAAATATTTTTCAAAGACACTGCCCCGAACGTCCGCCACTAAATGTGCGGACATAAATCAAATCTTTTAGGTCTGCCACTGATTGTATGATGACTCACCCTTTTCCCTTAAAAAAATACAATTTACAAGTGCTGGTTTGATTGAGTTCAAAAATGGAGAAAAATGGTCACTGTTCATGGTGGTTGATGGTTGTTTAATTCATAAATTCTAGTTTCTTTTTGTTGCATACTATAGTGTGTTAGTAAGATCAGAACCTTTTCCATATAAGTTCAATAACAACCCTCTTTCTTCACCTCATGTACACCTAGTGGCGGACTTGCACTTGTGCAAGTGATCGCAAAGTGCAGGCACAAACTTTTGAAAAAAAAAGGGACATCATTCCCCTTGTGTCCTGTCTCTTTCATGAGTTTAACCTAAGCCTCCAAGAACACCCTTAAGCTTCTTAAACTAAGCAGCGTCAAGGAAAATGGTTGTTGTGATCAATTCCGTTGGAAAATTACTTTTGAACAAAGCAA